GTGTGTGTGTGTGTGTGTGTGTGTGTGTGTGTGTGTGTGTGTGTGTGCTTGGAGGGTTAATTGTGAGCATAGTCAGTGACAAATGGGGGCAGAACTGAGGAATGTTGTTTGCCACTGGGTAAGGCAGCGTGGGAGCGATCTGGCAGCAGGGATGGAGGCACAAGAGGAAAACTAAAAAGCAATGTGAAAGCAGGACTTGTTTACGTGAAATTCCAGACTTGCAAAGGCAAACCTGAACATGCCTTATCCAAGACCCACAACTTAATCGTACAGGGGCGGGGCAGCGGGGGGCAAGATTTTGCAACATGAACTGAACAAACAAGAAAGGCTTTATTCCCTACTTATTTTTATGTGGAGCTAAAGTTTATTACTTTCTTACTACTGCCAAAAGTGAGGTATCTGCATTGAAAGTGGCTGGCCCTCACCTGCACATCAATATACTGTATATATAATGTAGTGACTCTATATGTTCACCAGGTGGCACTAATTCTTATCAAGAATTCTTGTTTCATCCATTCCAGTCCAAAAGTGTTTGTTTTTATGTTCATGTATGAAACAATGAACAAAATATACTTCTTTTAAAGCTGATTAAAATGATCAAACTATTTATTTTTGTACACGAGTAACCACGTTGGAGATATTGTTATTCTATTTCCGGTTACCCATTTAACCACATTGTAATTGTTGTTTTTCTTATGCTTTTGTTTATTTCATTTAATATGAAACATCTGGCATCCTCAGACCTCACTAACACTCTTTAACATCTCAACAGGTTTTTGTAAATAACCAACAGACTCATGAGTTTTTGTTTTGCCTTTATTTTCATAATATAGAAAGAGAACACATGTGTCTGGTCACAGATAACTCTCAATATTTATAATTTATCTTTTCGTTTAATACTTTAAATATGTATAGTTTAAGACAATTTCAACTTTCAATACTAGTGAATAACATGTTCATATTATTAAAACATGAACATGGTCTTTGGATCTGAGAATTGTGTTCTTTAGATGCCTTTTTTCTGTTTAACATGGGGTGGAGGTTGACTTGGGGTGGAGGTTGACTTAGTTGGCTTTGGTAAAGGACTCGTAGAGGGTGGTGAGCTGGGCCTGAAGGTCCTGGGCATAGGGGTCCAGCCTTTCCCTCAGCTCATCAACGTAGGGGGCGGCCAGTTCTTTCACCTGCTGGGCTCTCTGAGTCAGCTCACTTTGGACCTTCTCCGTCGCGGGCGCCACACTCTCCTTGAAGTTCTGCAGGTGCTCGTCCACCTTCAGCTTCAGGTCATCGGTGTAAGGCCCCAACTGAGCCTGCAGATCCTTCACACTCTGCTCCAAGTTGGTCTTAAGCTCCTCACTCTTCTGCATCAGGGTGGTCCTCAGGGCGTCAATGTCCATGGATTCTGCGAAGGGGGCAAGCTCCTGTTTGAGCTGCTCCACTCTCTGCTGGATCTTGGCTTTCATGTCCTCGGTGTAGGGCTCCAGCTTTTCCCTGACAGTGCTCAGCTCCTGGTCCACACGCTCTCTCAGCACATCGGCCTCTGTGGTAACTTTGGTGATCAGGTCCTGGGCTGCAGGGGGAAGCTGCTCCTGCAGGGTGACTGCATACTTGCTGGCCACATCAGCACTCTCTGTCAGACGGGCACTAGACAAGAGAGGGAAGAGTGAGATAAAGTGTTACCTTTACTTCATTTTATTGTGAGAAGGAAACGCTTGTCCGTTAGCATGTCAACAATGTTCTCAATGGTCTTGTCCGACATACTTGACATCCTGTCCGAGCTGAGATTTCCTGATCATCTGGAGGGTTTCATCAGCTGTCTGGGTGGCCTTGGCAACATAGTCCCAGAAGGCATCAGTCAGCACATCCAGCTGTGGCTTGGGTGCATCAGCATAGAAAATATTGGCATGACAGCCTGTTGGATAGACACAGACAGTTTGAAGAACAGCTCAAAATATTTCAGCTCGATTTGAATTGAAATAGTTTTTCATGCTCCAAAAAAAGAATAATGGTAATTTGTTATCATACTCACCACCGAAAACGGCTAGGACGAGCACAGCAAGGACCTTCATGGCTCTTAGACCTTATAACAAGGAGATACAAAGCTGGTTAGCACAGCAAATTAGTCAGCAAGAAGTACTTCTGAAATGAAAAGCTCAGCTGCTACTCCGAGCCAATTCTTCATCCTCTTACCTGAGTTTGCGAGTGTATCTGCAAGTCCTCTTGGCAGTGCTTGTGCTCAGCTGATGATGTTCTGCAGCTTATATAGCAGGTCAGACAGTAATGATCCCAAAGTCCAGGCGCTAGTGCCTCGCTGTCACCTTGACTCACTCTGATGTCCTCACCGAAACTTTGTGCCAGAAAATCCATGAAGCACACAATCACCAGCCCAAACTCTTACATAAATGCAAGGGTTATAATATAAACATAATCAGTTTTCTACAGTGTAATAACATAAATGACAGCATGCCTGATTTTATTTTTTATTTGCTTTACTTAATGTATAAAACCTAAATGTACGTGTAATTCTTCAGTGTTAGAGTCTGACAAAATCCTTCAATTTAACCAGAAATGAACTTTGTCCTCACAAGCCTGTCTGTTCGTATAGGTCTGTCTGTAATCACTTAGCTGCTTTTCATATCCACAGATAACTCCCTGCTAAGACCGCTCGCCTTCATTTCTTTGATGTTGAGATTTGATTAGATACACAGTGAATGTTTTATTGTTTTTATTAGCTGTACATGCACCAGCTTACGTCACAGTAGCTCATGGTTCTAGCATGTGTCTATGTGTCAATTTGGCCAAAGGTTCACAGACTCATACACCTGAAGGACAAAGTAGCTGCTGATTCACACCAGACATATCATGGTCCACTTCTCTGACATTTTATTGTCGTTTACTATTCTATGGACAGGAAAATATCCTACACAGTTTCTGAGACTTGAAACTAGAACATTTTACTGAAAATATTTCATAATTTTTGGCCTGAGAGTCTGAAAGACTTTTAAACAAATGTGCTGAACTTGATGTGTATTTTATCTGCTTATTTGTGTATTCAAATTCAATTTTAAATAGAGTTCTAATATGTAGTTTGGTCAATTTGTTCCAAACTACTTATTCCAGTTATTCCTCTCAGTAATAATTTGTACAGGTTAACAGTTTGAAGGATGATGCAGTTTTCAAAATAGACTTGTACTATTTGATTCACTGCTGCCATGAAACAACCAAAACACTAAGCATGACCAATTAATATGTATATTACCATAACCTAACATATTCTGCCTACTGACCAATCAGAGGGGCCACCCAACCTGGCGTTGATGACAGCTACGTGACAATTGGTCGTAGGGGTCATCATAGAAAGGGAGGACTTTTTTTGGCATTCATTTTGACGCTTCATATTTTTTATGTGTCCAGCTCCTCTTCTTTTTTCTGTTTTTACTAGTCCCGCCCACTTTTCAGAATAAACCGGGGGTTTTTTATTCAGCTTTTTATTTTTCATTTGCTTTGACTATGAATTTAGGTACACTAGAGCACTATACTGGGACCTCCAAAGATGGATTGCCATAATCAGTAGTTAGACAGACGGTGTTGTGAAGTTGAATTTGCACACTGAGATTTACAAAATTGAGTTACACTGAGAATCCTGTCAGAAAAGAAATAAACAATCATCAGTTAAAATTGAGGGTAGGTCACCATGACTCACTTGGTATTGAATCGCTCCAAATACGGAAACACCACAAAAGTAGCTAATTTATACTATTTAAAATGATGTGACTACAAAGATTGCAGTGGGGGTAGCCAGTCATTTCAATAGTGTATAGTTTAAAAAAAGAAATTCTCTGGATGGTAACTTTTTCTTCAGCTCTACAGATCCACCTTCTCAGACAGAGTGACAACCCTGTGTGCTCTTAAAATGTCCTTTCTGATCTCATCTTCCTGTTACTCTGAAAATAACTCTCACCATCCGCCATGAGTTCCAGTATGAAGGCCTGAAATTTAAACCTGTCTGTGAAATACAATCAGCTGGAATATATTGTACTGTACTATATTTGCTGATTACTGATTAAAAGTTGACATTATGTGTGATTAATTTGAGCCTTTTCACTGTAAAAACATTTTGGTGCCTTGTGCTATTTTATACACGTTGTTTAACCCTCATACAAAGTCCACTAGTGTAAGCAGGCCAATGTTATCTGGAGTTATCTGCAGGCTGTTTACACTGGACTGCATGGGTAGTTAATTGCTATTTACTAAATGCTTTCTAGAGAGGGGTCAGACTAACTTGGCAATAATTATTGTGGTGTAAGAGAGGTTTTATTGTTAAAACATTACCAAAAGCCACATAACCAATTCATACTGTAACGGTTGTGTCAGTGTGTCTGCATTGTCGTTTCGGGGGTCATGTGATAGTATTCCCTGAGAAGCACCAGAAACAGGAAGAGAGCCATTGTGACAACATGGAAGGGACTCCCGGACTTTGGGCTCTTGACTACATGTGGCTTCAGTATATATACAAGGAAGTGCCAGTCTGAGGGAACCACAAACCTGCTTCACTCTGAGAGTCGAACAAGCCAAAAGCAGGTGAGAATCACATTACATTCCAAACTAAATTTCAAGGAACAAATACAATTGTTGCAACTTTTTTTAATGCTTCTTGAAAGTTAACTGGATCATACATTTTTTTCAGCAAGACGCAGTCATGAAGGTGTTTGTTGTACTCGTTGTTGCAGCACTGTCTGGTAAGTTGCAAGCTTTTCTGTTTTTGACTTGTCTTTTCTGTCTCGTCAAAGCTACAATATGGCATTACTTCAGCAACTAAAAGCACTCAAAATAAACTGAATGGCTGAAAATCTGCACTGTTCTCAAGCTGTGCTTGTGTCCATCCTTCAGGCTGTCACGCCAACCTCTTCTATGCTGATGCACCCAAACCACAGCTGGAAGTGCTTACGGATGCATTCTGGGATTACATTGCCAAGGCCACCCAAACAGCTGATGACACCCTCCACATGATCAGGAAATCACAGTTTGGACAGGAAGTCAAGTAAGTTGTGGCCTTCAGAAGAGAGCAAGCAGCCCAAAATGCAACATAAACCGGTTCTCATCCCTTCTGACAGTTCAGAACCTTCAGCTGACTCTGCAACAAATCTGCCATCGGATCATGATGGCTTGGCCTGTTAGTGAAATGTGTCACATGGTGATAAGATCAGTATGGTACTGCACAAACTCTGATGGTCTAACCACTACTTTGTCTGTTTTCTAGTGCCCGCCTGGCAGACAGTACTGACATAGCCAGCAAGTATGCATTCACCCTGCAGGAGCAGCTTCCCCCTGCAGCCCAGGACCTGATGACCAAGATCACAGCAGAGGCCGATGTGCTGAGAAATGTGCTGACCCAGGAGCTGAGCACTGTCAGGGAAAAACTGGAGCCCTACACTGAAGACATGAAGACCCAGATCCAGCAGAGAGTGGAGCAGCTCAAACAGGAGCTTGCCCCCTTTGCAGAGTCCATGGACTCTGAGACCCTGAGGGCCACCCTGATGCAGAAGAGTGAGGAGCTTAAGACCAACTTGGAGCAGAGTGTGAAGGATCTGCAGGCTCAGCTGGGGCCTTACACCGATGACCTGAAGCTGAAGGTGGACCAGCACCTGCAGGACTTCCAGGATAGCGTGGCCCCCATGACTGAGAAGGTCCAGGTTGAGCTGAGTCAGAGAGCTAATGTGGTGAAACAGATGGTAGCCCCCTATGCTGAGGACCTGAGGGAAAAGCTGGACCCCTACGCTCAGGACCTCCAGGCACAGCTCATGTCCCTCTACGAGTCCTTTGCCAAAGCCAACTAAGTCCACCTCAACACCTGCTCCATCATTTATCAAGAGGCTGGCCTTGTTTGGTGTACCTCTGTTTAAAGCATGACATATCTGAATTGTACTGTAAACAAAATTAAACTCATTACTATTTATTACTAGGTGCGAAGCAAACCTCTGCACTCGTCAAATATGTAAATACTAAGTTTTTATTGTGGGTTATGAACTTGGAGACTGTAATGTACTTTTTTGTAATTTCTGTAAATTGACACAAATAAATAGAAAAATCTGGAAAATGTACATTTGTATTTAATAGTCTTTCATAGAATATGTGAATTTGCAAGAAATCTAATCACAAGAAATGTTTTTTTCTACAACATCTGTTTAAGAGCACGGTGTTTTGACAAGCCATCCTGAAAGTAGCAGCACTGACAGAATATGATTATTACATAAAACATACAGAGGGACTAACACGTCTTAACATGTCCTCGCTCTTGTCCCAGTTTCGTCTCCTTCTTAATCCAGATGCAGGCTGTTGTTTTTAATCGGGTACTTGTCAACGCTTGCCATGAAACTGCACCTTGATGGTGTCATTGCTAAAATCGAGAAATGTCTGTGAGAAGCGTGGCTGACCATTTGTATGTGAGAGAGGCCTAGACAAGTCAGTTGTGGATTCATCCCATTAGATTTCATATAAAACAAAAAGTGTTTTGCCCTAAAAATCAGATGCATCCTTATTTTATTCTATTTAAAATTACAGATTTGTTTTGATGGAACTTTGAAAACCACACGATTATTTATTTCATAAAAACCGAGAATTGCACAATCTCTTATTGTTGTAAATAGCCTCATCCTCCAACTATTGACAGTGCCAGCATCCAACGTGGAGGGTCAGAGTCCAATGACAATACCACTGCACTGGAAAAAAAACAATGTGTCACTCATTCTTGAGATATGTTGATATCTCTTTGTTATGACAGGGAATAAGATTGTACTTTTTTCTAATTTACAAGTCCCGAGAATTCAATCTCCCCTTATTGTAATTGCAGCAACTTAAAGTGCTACTTTCAGTGGGACACTGCTTTTCAAACTACTGCAAAGCTCTTTGAGACGTTACAAATGCAAGTCTGATCTCACATTTTCATGCTCCATGCTGTTTTCACACCTAATTAGCATTTGTGTGGGAACCCAGAACAACTATCCACACTGCATTATCAGTCAAAACAGCCAAAAGTAATCGTTAAGGCCAACGGCCACTTTCTAATACAGGAAGCTAGACGCATGTCTGTTCCATTCAAACTAGAACTCACACCACTGAGAAGTGGGAGGTGCTCTGTGACGTACACAAGTTCCTCTGAACAAGACACATCTTGCTTTAATCACTGTGGTGACAAACAGGTTTACTGTTGTTTTGATATAGATAAGAGGTTGTTACTATGGTCCTGCTGGTTTGATAAGCAGATCGGATCTTGTCTCCAGATGGCTGTTTTTTGTAAATGCACTTAAGCTGTGTTGTCTGCTCCACCTTGTTGTTCCCCATCAGCTGGTCTGATTTTAGAACAGGATTGTTATGTGGAGATGATCTTGGAGGTGCACACCTCAGATATTGTTAAAACTGTCTCGGGGAGGTTTTCTTTTCACTCATTGCCTAAAAATGTCCATTGTATGCTTTATACTCTACTACTGCTTTATAATTCTACTACATTTCAAAGGGGAATAGTTTTTTATTGTGTCGAATTTATTTAACAGCTTAAATTACTTTTCAGGTTTTACATACTAAATATATGATCAGTTTATAAAATGTGTTACATTGTTTTTGAATAATAATACTATAACTAACAATAACAATAACAACAATAATAATAATAATAATACAATTAATAATAGAGGGGGACTTTGCATAGTCTTACTTTAATGTTTGGTACTTTTTGTTGCTAGTATTTTAACGTAAGATTTTAAATAGGGGACTAGTACTTGTAACGGATTACATTTACATGGTGGTATTGCTACTTTAACTTAAGTAAAGTATTTAAAACTAGTTCCACAACCTGATTGTAGACACTGAACTCCCATTTTGTGTGTTTGTGTGGGGGAAATGTAAGTTGCCTTTAGACAGAAGCTTCTGCCAAATGATTGTTACAGTTCTGTTTTATGCAACGCAAGGACGTCAGTGTCCTCTGTGCCAATAGAAGAGGCTAGACTGCCACCCAGTGGTGAAACTGTGACAGCGCTTGAGTGCAAATAAGATATTTCAGATTTATTTGTTGTAATTTGTATTCTCTTCATTTGGTCTATAGGCATAATTTATCACTCACTGTCAGGATTACGAATGGTAACATTTTAAATGTATTGAGTACCAATGACCAGCCCTAAATTTAAACAGATTTTTACCAAAAAAAAATAACTTTCAAGTGGGAAAAATGTCTTTGAAGAAAGTCTTACGTAAATCACTCTTACGTTATATCACTTATTGAAATGATTTACCTTATATGTAGAAATGACATTTGAAGGTCCATCATAATACATTTACAACGTTCTAGGTCATGATGCCAGCACAGCATCGGGTCAAGAAGGAGACTCAGCCTGGCTAGAGACCCACAAGCTGAGAAGCAATAGGGAGTGTCATGTCCAGTGTCTCCAGTTCTACTATTACCACAGTGGACACAAGTTAGACCATCTCAACATCTGGATCAGAGAGTTTCAAGATGAATGGGACCTCTCAGGAACACTCCGCCTCATGGGACAGATCACTGGTAATCTCAAGCTGTATGATTATTTGATATCATCTGCTCTAAATGGTATTTAAGACTGAAATGTTTGAAAGCTATACCTCATACTGCACGTATTAATATTCAAGTAATGTAATTAAGTCATCCCGAAACTTTTCCTCCGGGTCCACCAACATCTTACTGGCAGCTCAAGCATGTTTCCCTGAATGCCACCAAGCACTTCCAGGTGGAGTTTGAGGTTCGTAAAGGAGCAGGAAACTCTTCAGATGGCTTCTCAATCGACGACATCAATCTGTCCGAGATCGATTGTCCACATGTTACCATGCAGATCAATGATTTTGAGAATACTAGTTTATATGGAACCACTCGATACAGTCCACGGCAGTACTCCAGTGGAGGCTATGCCTACAGGGTTGGGATTATGCAGGCCAGGCGATCTTTCGGACTGTTTGTGCAACTCTTGTCTGGTGAATATGATGACACGCTGGAGTGGCCTTGCCCACAAAGGCAGGTGACCTTTAAAATGCTGGATCAGAACCCCAACATCCAGCTGCAGATGTCCAAGCAAAGGAGTATCACCAGTGATCTAAGCACATCCAGTAATAATGGTAAGAAACAAAGAAATCACCACACACTATATGTTACTTTTTTAGACTTGCGACATACATACTGTACCTACATAACATTTGACCAACCCATCCTAAGCATTTGGAGTCGGGGAACAACTTGGGGTTCAGTGTCTCATTCGGGCACACTTGCCGGACCTCCACTTGGAAGACGTTTCTTTGCCTATTACGAAGATATGAAATCCAGAGACTTCATCAAGGGAGGAAGTGCAATTTTTGGAGTTCAGCTTCCAAGGTAGGTTGATCAAACTGTTTTTACTGCTTAACTTGACTGTATAGCTGCTCTGCTTGGAATTCTACAACAAATTAGTTTGAAACATTTCTTTACACCTAAGAGGAAGTTTTGTTCTACATGTTTACTGAAACTTTCTTTTGTTAGATATCTCTCCTCTCCTTAGTGGAAATTCTCTACCATGTCCTAAAGTGGAACCAGTGAAGATTAGACACCTTCCTAGATATCAGGATAATGGCCCATGCTCATCACGGTAGGACATTATGTGATCAATTAGGTACATTTTTAGCACTGAATACAACTATTTATGTAAAACAATAATTAAATAAAGAATTATGATTTTAATATATCTTTTCTGATATGCATTTCATAGGATCTTACCCACCACCCGTCCACCTCCTAACACAACAGATGACAAAAGGTAATACGATTTATTTGTTAGCTGTAAAAACAGTTGGCTCGAAAGTTACATATACAGGTCTGTATATTCATAAATATATAACTGGAAAAATATTTTTCTTCCTGCTGCAGCATTTTTTGGCTTCTCTGCTGCTTTGGTGTGTTCTCCTGTCCTCACCCTCCTATTGATGATTTTGATACCTTGATGTACATCTCTGCGCACATCTCACCTCGGATATCGTCAGTAAAGTTGCCACTGGCTGAGTAATTCAGCAGTTCTTAACTTTATTTTAGATTTGTTTATGTGGTTATATAGTCGACTAATACAAAAAAGGTGTAATAAGTAAATAACTATTGGTGGATACTGTATTTGGGAATAGTTGTATTGTCACAATTATATCGTCATATGTTACAATTAAGTACATGTCTGTGGTGTGACTGTATATTTTGTTAATTGGATTATCTTATCTGCGTTAATCTTAAAAATGTACTTCTATTTCTTATGGTATTGCAGTCTTTCGACTGCATTTATAACTGGCTAATGAAAAGGCAAGGTTGCTGTGAGCCCTTAAATGTTTGTAATAATACTGTAGATTTACAGTATGATGTGGAATTGTACAGCTATCCCTGTACAGTGGTTCTTGATTGACAAAAATAGCATATTTGATTAATAAAGAAAATGTACCCAACAACATGGTTTTGTTTGTGGTCAGACAATGCTTTTTGGTATTTTGGAGTTGATTGTGCTAGAAGTATATGCAGATACCCTGGATGGAAGGTAGTCTTCTTTGACACAAAGGTGGGAAATAAGAAACATAGGGTGGGTGTTAAATATTGTTTTTAAATGTGACTTACGTCGCAGGATATTTCTCACTCAGAGTCAGTCCCAGGAATCACAGTTGACCAGCATTAAGGGAACACTACACCCAGCAGATATGGAGGGACATTAGCATTCATTTGGAGTGTCATTCTGATGAATATAAGTCAGATGTGCATTCAACTGTACTTAGCTCTGGATTTGGTCCCAACTAAATAAATCCAATAATCGTTTTAGCCACTAAATGCTCCAGAATTTTCACCAACTGGTTGCTAACTTTGTTCGTCTGATGTAATGGTCCATGCAACCAGTAAAAGCAAGTCGATTTTTGCGAATGAGACCTTGCAAAAATCTACCGGTTGAATATGTGTCCCAGGTGTGTCTATAGTTAGACCCCCAAAATAATGAGCGTGTGCACCCAGTTCTTCTAGAAACAATCACAACACCCCCTCTTTTACAAAAAGTTATCACATTTATTTTAATCGTCATACATGATCACCATATATTATGTCTATCCACTTACTTGATTTTCACATCACATGTTCTCATGCATCACTGATGCCCTCTGATATACATCTCTCTAGCCTCTGGGTATATCCAATACACCATAAAGGAAAGACATTTGTGCTACAGAATGTAGGCATGGCTCGGCCAGTCCTGGCTCCTTCGTAGTTGTCTGTCTGCCCCAGAAATCACAGTTGTGAGAGAGTCTCTGAATCAAATTTCTAAAACTTAGTCCAGGTTCCTGTGTGTCTCTGTGCCGGTCCAAGCTGTGGCCTGCAAGCTGGCTCCAGGAAGCCCCCACACCTCTAGCCAATGGTGACACCAAAGCCACACTGGAACTTGTTCTTGCGGTGGTTGAGGAAAGCCCCAAGGGCCAGCGTGAGAGGCAGAGGCAGCAGTTTCTTTTCAAGGGTCGCCCCAACCACCCAGTTACTGTCAACTGTGCCTAAGGAGGGACAATGGGGAAAAAAACATTATTCATTTTGCAGTTTTCTACATGTATATGGGTATTCATACTGTATTTATTTACCTTTAAAGAGCAAGTTAGCTTTGGGAACGTCCAACTGGTAACCAATGGATGTTGTGGTGTCTTGCATCTTTGTGCTGGCTTCAAATTCAACTCCTATCTGCAACTGCATAAGAAGACAGAAGAAACTTTGAAAGGTACCCGCTTGAAATGCAGAAGTCAGACTTCTAGAGCCTCAAATTAGCTTCAGCTAAATTTGTTTTTGCACAGAACGAGGATTGTGGGTTTTGTCCTTATCGCTTATATTTAATTTGCTTCAGGAAAGGACCTCTTAACGGCCAGTATAGACAGGAGGAACAACTGTGACCAAAAACTGTTTCAATGTACATATAGGGAAGTGAGGATTGTTTTAAGACACACTTGTTTAAATGTGAACCTATCCTTTAAGCTAATCATCAGATTTTCAACCAAATTGCTGCATTCGAGCAGTATTGGGAGACAAACCATGACTGTTCCACAGAAATATATCCACACGTACCATTACTAATTTAATAATACCTGATCATTGGCTTTGTGATAGTATGTAGCATGAGCTCCTGCCCCGCCCACAGTCAATGTAGCAACGTAGTTGTCCCCTGTGGAGAAATAAAGGGATTTGAACATCCATCACACGGGTAACACAAAACAATGAATGACGTTTTTTTTGGAAATTGGCAACCAAATATTGAATCATAGTCAACAAAGCAAGATTTGAATACACAAATACAAGCATTAGGTAGTCTTGAAGTGTACATTTCAATAAGCACAGAGTGGAGATTTACCTGTGTACCTTCCTAAGAGGGAGGTGACCGCTCCTTCCTCCCCTGGTCTCCTGTGGAACACTACCTCACCACCTAGAGCCAGAGCTGGTGTGATAGACTGGAGATAGTGGCCCACCAAGATGCCTGAGGGAAAGTAGTAAAAGAGCTACCATTATATACACAGTATAGTCCCCTCTCATCCATGGTTTGGAGTTTGGATGTCTTCCAACATGCATTTTGGTGTGGAACAGTGATGAGCAGGTTTAGTAAGCTTACTAAAAAATATCAGGTTCGGGATGGCAACAAGATGACATTTGAACACATACATTTAACAAAATGTTTACACAATAACTAGCTCTCCCCCTGCCGACTTCTACAGAGATTTGTTTTTCACAATGTAGCATTATCACAGAAATGATAAAGGTGTAAAGTACTAGTTGCCACATGTGCAGTACCAATATTGCAGTGTAACTGTTTAAAAACTATGCATTTATTATTGTTTGTGACCCCTTATATTTTTCTGTATTTAGCCTACAATTTAAAAGGTTTGGCCACATCTGGTTTAGGCTGTTGGAGAATAAATTCTACATCTGGGTCAAGACTGAAGAGAAGTTCCCATGTCTTGCTTGCCTCCTGCGTATTTAAGTGAAGGGGAAAGTGGTAAACAACGGCCCGGCTTAGTTATCGGTGGACCAGCTATTCTCATTTTAGCCGCTCCTCTGAGTTTTGATGGAGCGGCTGTTAGGTCAAGTGTGACATCTAGTGGTAAAATACTGTATAACGCTCCAGTGTTGTGGCTTACTATCAAACTAGTTTAAAAATGTTTACACCAGCCCAACTCTAAAAACATGTATACTTTGGTGCTATCGCTTATGCTGCGTTCACACCAAACGCGTTGCGAATTATTCACGCGAGTAGATTACATACAAAGTCTATGCACACAGGCGATGATACTGTAGCCGTCTGTGTTCACCCAGAGCTCTACGATCAAATCGGCATCATTACGTAGTTATTTCGGAGTCCCTTTTTGTCGGAGAAGACAAGTACAAATCGGCATCATTACATAGTTATATCGGAGTCCCTTTTTGTCGGTTTATTGCCATTAAATCACAGCCAAATCAGTTTATTTTGTGTTCATACAGCTGTAGTAAACAGCGACGTGTGGCTTGCTAGACACAGTGAATACACCTCGATACTATGTTATGAACCCAGACATGACAGCGTTTAGTTTCCCAGGATATCTGTGACGTCCACAACACGTACTAAGCAGAAATAGAGGTTATTTTTCCCATGGTTAATGGCGGACAGTTGAACGGCTTTCAGGGCGATAAACCACGCCCCCTCTCCGGCGCTATTCTTTTTTCTGTAAATTGTTTGGTCTATAAATAATGTCAGAAAAGGTTGGAAAATACTGACAAATTCCTGGTGTGTGTGTGTGAGGTAGAGAGGTATTAATAGCCAATTGGGTAGCCAGGAGCTCCAGCATTTGGATCAAGTAGCTTGTGGCAAATTAGTGTGGGATAAAAACCCTCTGTTGAACTTGTTACAAGGCGTTATTAACAAACCAAATCATACCAGATCCAACGGTTACATCTGGATTCCCGAGTGTCACTGCGGAGGTAAAGTCTTCACCACGCCACTCCAAGTCACACTGCCAGTTCACAAACTTATGTTGCTGAGTCTGCAACACACAAAAGGTTGAACAACAAATATTCTGAGAGTGGAATGGAACGGTCAGTGACACTTAAAAGCTGAATAAGAGACTCAGCATCTGAAAGGATGTTCCCTCAAAAAGTCCACACACCTGGATGGCTATTTTGGAGCGCACAGCAGATGTGAGCTGGTGGATGATCTGAGCATTCAGACTACCAGTGTTGTCCATATCTCCAACAATGACTGGGAAAGACTGTGGGGAACAACACACACATTCATCAGTTTTCAAACTTAAGTATGTTATTCAGTTTTGAACCCTGATAAAGAAAAAAACATGCCATTAAAACGATCTAGCTGAACTGTCAGTAACCAATAAAAGACGTATAACCCTAACCCCTAACTAAATACATTTTTCATATAAAAATATTGACTTTTTTCAGTCATTGAGCAAAGAAGCAACTAAAGACACACATCAGACTTCTATCATAATAAATGCAAACATAATTTTAGTGGTTTGTTGAAGAGATGGGAAAATGATCATTACCTCTGCTGGTCCAGTCTGTTTAGTGCCTACGTAGGTGGAACCAAATCGATAACCAGATTCACCAAGTGTGCTCAGGGTAACCGTATGGCTGACCTGGAAGTGGTTACTCAGGCCCTTGTTGACCACTAACCGCACCCCTTCCATTTGCAGAGGGTATACCTCTGAAACAGAGAAAGTGCAAAAAAAAAAAAAAAAATGTATGTAACTCAGACAATTATTCATGCTAATAGTCATACTGTATTTATAATACAATGCCTGTTACTTAAAGGCTGAACAAATTTGAAGATTAAACTACAGCATTCAGAAATTACCACCACACAACACAACAGCTGATTTTCTAACCTTTACATTTACGGTGGCACTCCTCATAGGTGCCTGGGTGTGGCAGTGGAGGGTCTGCATCTGCCGTCTGCTGGCCGGATCCAGATGTTGGAGGGACGGAAGACATTGAGGGCATACTGAACCCTGGAGGGACAGACACCAGCCCATGGACCCCTTGACTACCTCCAGCTGGGGCAGGACTGGGGGAGGCGGCAGCCAACACACTGCCCATACTGTAACAGACTGGGGGGGGGGGGGGGAAGAGAGAGAGAAAGATGAATATTGTTCAATTATATCAACGTAATCCAATCACTGCAGGTTACTGTCTGTTAAAATAATCCCTGATAAAGTGCAAGACAAAATTGGAAAAGTAACGTTATTAGCTTGAATGACTTGCGAGGTTTGATATGAAGACAGTGATCTGCTTGGCATACAATCACCCACTAACTCACACAGTAGACCCAGTGCACTTGGGCACAGTTAGCTCACGTCCATGCTAACATTAACGTGACTAGCTTAGCTCCAGTGAGCGATCTGTCCTGGTGTCCTGGCAGTAACAGTAGCGTTACAGTAGGTCGGTTGGTTATAACTAAGGCCCAGTTTAGTCCGACTCTCCATAACGGTACTAGATTCCAACACAACCTGGTGACCACAAGAAATATTCAGCTGCAACGTGTGGTTTGTTACAACTAGAGATAAGCCAGCCTCCGGTAAGACTATCCGGTATTTAACCTGTGAAGGCTGAAGCAAGCTAGCAGGATTGGCCGGTTGGTTAGCTAGCAGGCTAGGTAACGTTAGCCATGTGGGGTCGACCACGAGACCTATTCCGTCTTCATATGGGAATTGCTGTAACTGGGAATACAACATGTAGACTTTTGACACACTCAACAATCTTCTTCTTACGAAATCAATCTTTTAATGTAACGTTGTCGATACTCACGCTGACGGTTTGGGGTCCGGGGGTAGTCCAACACCGGCAAAGTTAACCACAACGTCCGTGACCGTGGTTGACAAAGGGCCCGCCCATTCCACGAAAGTCATCCACCGATTGGCTAATATGTATGTAATGCCAATCGTGATTGGCTGAACACACAGCTGGGACAGGCCCGTCCTGATGACGTCTCACAGAGTTCATTCGCTGAACATTAATTTCATTCAATCTCCTGCTGAATGACATTGCAAGGGTACACCCGTTTCAGGGTTCATGACTACAGGTATTACAAATCATACCTGCACCGCCATATTTTATATAAATTAATTTAAATAAGCATATGCAGTCTGTGGACATTTTTAAGATAAGTCAGAAACACTAAGATTTGACAATATATAAACTAATACATAAGCAGTAATCAAATAATAACTGCATGATCTGTGGTTTCAAACTGGGCCTTTGGTAGAAAACCTTAACCACACCAAAGTATATGGTCGAAACAGTATTGATTGTTATCATCTGTGTGAGGTTGTCACGACTGGCTCGAAAGCATGGGTAGAGTTCTCCCTGGTTTGGAGGAAGTGTGGGTTTTACACCAATATCCTGCTTTGTGAGAAAGGCTCCTGGCTGGCAGTGTACGAGACTAATTCAATCAATATTTACATACAACATTTACAAAAATTAAGACAAAAAAAGGGAGGAGTCAAATCAGTTGGAGTTTAATGCATTTCGGGCGCCGACATTGACATATTTAACAGAAAATTGTTGCCTGTCTGTCTTTCTAGTTAAACATCTGGTCATTAAGTCAAAGGTATTCATTTTTCAAGATTACAGTGATGGACCAAAATAGTCTGAAGTTACAGACCCACTGAGAAGATGGTTGTGTATTGATTGCAGACTGTACCGAGGCTGAAAAAGTGGGGAACCAAAACATAAGGGGGGAAAAAAAAAAAAAAAAAAAAAGTGGAAATTTCACAGTATTGTTTTAAATTTGAAATACATAATCTTCTGTGACATTGTGCTTATGTCAAGAAGTCCAAGGCAGTAATATATTCTGACAACTAGTCATATATACAATTTGTCATGACAAATGAATAAGGAGAAACTGAAATCCTGTGACTTTAACTGTGCTTTTTCAAAACTGAAACCAATGAGGAATTGTTTGGGGGCCGTTTTACCTACAACACAAAGTTGGGACAAGAGTCTGGGCAAAGTAAGAAGTTTGACGTTACACTAAGGCACTTTGGAGAGGAGGAGGGACACAGAATCGACATCGACATGACGCAACAAGTTGGCCGGTAACAACATGTAAACTATCGGCCATCTCATCCCGTCATGTTAATTACTGATAACCTCAAGAAAATGCTGCCTGGTGTTATGGCTTTAAAAGGGGATCAAAGTAATTCCACAATTAAATACCGACATTGTCATTATGGGATCTGTGCTTCGACAAAATGCACTACAATGTCACCGACATTACACTGCCATCTTTAAATTCGTATTTCCACAGTTAACACTTCAATATAAAAAAAAGTAACAATTTCACCATCAGCAGCACTGTTTCAGGTGCTTTACTGGAACACCATAGCAGCCATCTTTTTACCATCGCAAAGAGCAAAGTGGTCATTTTGGTTTCTCAAGCCATCTCTATCAATACTTTTGTAACTCTGTGTCAACTCTTCCAACTTTGGATCCCTTTTAAAGATTGGATACGTGTACAAGCCGCCCTATTTCACAGCTGCATCCCCAAATGTCAGCATGAAAGTTAGTAAGCAAAAGGTTATCTATAACAAACCTGGAATGATGGCAAAAGTTACAAAAATAATTACACCCAGTGGCCACATTATTAGGTACACCTGCTCAATGTCTAAAACAGCTACTAAATAAAAAAAACAATTCCGACCAAGCATCTGAATAGAGGGGGAATTTGACTGTGGAATGATTGTTGGTGCGAGAACATACTAGTCTATCCGGTAACACACACACACACACACCAAAAAAACTGCGACAACAAAAGTGCCTTGCTAATGAGGGAGGTGAGAGGAGAATGGTTGGATTGGTTCAAGTTGAAAGGAAGGTATGCAAATCACTGTCAGAGCAGAAGTATGCAGACGAAGCGCTGAGGCCAGAGGAGATAGGCACAGCAGATGAATGATAGATGTCCCATGGCCATGCAGATGACGGTCAGAATTTGGTGTAAACATGAATCGAACGTTTCAGGCTGGTGGCGGCAGTGTAATGAATGAGTTTAAGAATATCATTTTGGCACACTTTTGGCCATTTAATACTAACTGAGCATCATTTAAAAAAGGAATGTTTCCAGCAGCTTTTAAATTCCTGGCATGACAGATTCAGGCTTTCATTCAGGTGCAGCTAATAAAGTAACCACTGAGTGTAGCTTTTTGGACACACAAAAAAAAAAAAAAAAAAAAAAAAAAGGGGGGGGGGGTGAGTTTCTTTTAAGTAATTTGCTCAAAAGACATGTCAGCAGGATGTGCACACTGCCATGAGATGGGCTTTATCCTCCAAGTCTACCTTTGGTTTCACATTTTCATTCCTACAGCAAAGTACAAAGGACGACAAAGTCCATCCATTGTCAAGAGTGGCTGAGTTCAATGACAGACTTAAGCAATAGCCCAAATCACATGTAGTGACCATCTGTGGCAGAAAGTTCAAATGATTGAAGTTGCAATGAGAAGATACCAGTTTACTAATATATGCACAGACAGAACGGGAGACGACTGTAAACTCAAACAGGAAATGAAAAGAAATCAAAATTAGACCATTTGGGCATCAAACTGGGAACACAAGATTCCAAGGGAGGATTTCTGTCATGCCTTGTCAATACCATGTGACGAATGCCAGGCGCCGTGTTTCTCCTGAAAAACAATACAAAAGCACAATAAGACATCTCTGAAAACTACTATGTGAGTAAGTCACTGCTTAAGCAAACCTGCAGACAGCCGACTTTGTGCTGATCAGCTCTGTGCTAATCTGCTGTTTGACAGCCCTCCACCTTTAAAGCCTGTACAACTTCAGTTAAGAGGATATTATCCATTAGCAAGATTGCACTCCTCCAAGCGAGAGTAGTGTTTTGAATAGACTTTAAATGTCCACCAAAATGCTCATTCATCTACACACAAACTCAATCTGAACCAGAACGTGGAAATTAAGCTTGGGTTCAAGGCCACCAGTCAATCACTTAGCTGCAGTCGAGTAAATAACTAGAACTTGCCCCGCCTTCATTGGCCATGGTTAAGGCAGCTTTACATCTTCTAGCCACACAGGGCTGAGCATCAAGCCTAAGTACTTGTTTTGCTTTCAGATGGAGAACTTAAAATTATGCTGAAGTGTGACCTGTGACCCTCCTACACTAGATTAGTTGATTTATGCCCAGCAAAACTGGCTTAACTGGGCTCATAAAACATTTAATGTTAAGGTTTATTTTCAGTCATGGCAGATTTCTGAGCATTAAAAAAACAAACAAAAAAAAACAAAAAACTGACCATTCACTCAGATTGCTCCCAGCTCCTTGCTTTTGGCTCCGCCGTCTTCGTCGTCCTCTGCATCTGGGTCAACAGAGTGAAACTCTGCCACGTACAGGCTCTTATCGATGCAACTGGGGATGGGTTTAATGTCAGTGACCAGTTGATCCTCGATATTCTTCAGGTTGTAGCGATCTTCTGAAGTGATCAGATTGATAGCCAGACCCAGATGACCGAAGCGCCCTGCGAGAGGAGAGACAGTTTAGCTGTTGTACATCATTAGCAGTAGTGTCATGAAGTCATGCTGCCAGCTTTTGTAAAACAAAGCCTATTGTTTAGAGTGTGAGTATTTATATAAAAAGAGGTTAATCTTACCTGATCTTCCAATGCGGTGCAGGTAGGTCTCTGCATTTTTGGGGAAGTCGAAGTTGATGACCACATTTACTGCCTGGATGTCAATTCCCCGAGTGAACAGGTCTACAAGAAAATATACAAGTTGAACTTACTGACCAAAAATACTTGAGATCTACTTTATATTTAAAAACCCAGAACTCCCTTCACCTACCTGTGCAGACCAGGTTTCTGCACAATCCATTCCTGAAGTCATGGAACACACGGTTCCTGTATTCCTGCATCATCTTTGCATGAATGTAGAAGCACGAATAACCCAGTTGGGTGATTTTCTTGGCCAGAAGCTCAACCCTCTGGGTTGAGTTGCAGAAGATGATGGACTGATTGATCTGAAGCTGAAATAAAAATGAGTTGTTATTCCTTCAGTCATCAATTTTCATAAATCTGTACATTTCTATTATACCTGCTGTCTCAGGTAGCATGTGGGCTACAGTTTATTTTAAGGCGGCCAAACTGCAGCTTGCATGCTCCATTAGGATACTTTTTTTTTTATTCTGTTGTCACATTTTTAATCAAATTCTATTTATAGGGTATGCAAATCATTGCCCCAATATGAGAGCCAATCCCTTGAATTACAGGAACAAAACTGCACACTTAATAAATTAAAGGACCGATTAAAAATGTTATATATAAAGTTTGTTTGTTATATTTATACAATGGATTAAATCCTTGATCACAAAAACAGTTCTATATTGAGATATCAATATACATATATGATAATATTGTACATTTTCTATCAAATCACTTGTAAAACTTGTCTAAACTTTCAACCAGAGAAGGCCGAGTACTAATTTTCTAGCATGACGTTCTCGTTAACTTTTCTAGGCTCTTAGTTTCAAACTGGTACACACTTACCCGAGAGAACAGTGTGTTGAGACAGTGGACCTTTTGTCTTTCAGTCACATAGGCATAGTACTGAGTGATGCCCTTCAAGGTCAGCTCCTCCATCAGGTTGATCTCATAAGGCTTCTTCAGGTGCTTGCTCTGGAAGACATTCACAGCATATTATGAAACCAGATTGTATATTTTTTACCTCTTTTGTGAACATTATGTCTGTTATGAGTTCTCACCATGAATTTTTGCACACTGATGGGAAACGTGGCAGAGTAAAGCAGAATCTGACGATCCTTTGGCATGAAGCTGATTATATCTTCTATCAGAACCACAAAGTCCTGGGACAGCAGCTTATCTGCCTGAGGAAAGATATTTAAAGAAAGGTTGTTTTAAAAAAAAAAAAAAAAAAAAAAAAGACTATTGAAAGTGAATTTAGAAATTAAAAAGACAAACCTACCTCATCCATCACAATCAATTGGGCCTTATCCATTTTTGCCACACCCTTCTTGATAAGGTCCAGTATCCTGCCTGGAGTAGCAATCACTACATGCACTATTAGGAGAGGAGACGACACAAACGGCAAAACATGTCAACTACAAAAAGGACATTTCCTAACCACGGTCAACCGGAGTGGAATTAAGCAGAAATGTTGTGCTGTGGATATATCTTTATAGTAGGTAAAAAAAATAAAAAAAGCTTATAAAATGATCATTAAACTGAAATTCTCAAAAAGCAAGAGCAGGAATTGGTATTGATCTAATGCGCAAAGATAAGATAATCCTTTATTAGTCCTGCAGTGGGAAAATTTACAGGATCACAGCAGCAAAGTGGACAGTGCACACAAGGTACATGGTAAAAAAAAGAAAAGTCATGACTTCAATGACCAGATAGAAATATCCCATTAGAATTGCTTCTAGGAGAGAATTATCTACAATCTTCTTTTTGGAAAAGTCCTTTTCATTATCTTTAATAACTGCACAAGTACCTGTCTCATCAAGACGCATGATGTCATCCCTCAGATTGGTGCCACCCGTGGTCGCCATGACCTTGACACCTCCTAGGTGCTTGCTGAGCTGAATGCTGATCTGGCTCATCTGCAGGGCCAACTCTCTTGTTGGCACCATTACTATGGCTGGATTGAGACAGAAATGGAAAGGATGACTGAATAAATGGTTAAGCATATTACAAAATCTTTAATATAATTTCATAATACTACTACAATCAAAGTCGATGTTGATATATCTGTCAGACGTCTGCAACGGTTTTAAAATGAGCACTTATCAAGCAGTGGTCGCGTTAGACTTTCTTGTTGCGCGTCATTTTGACGGAGTGTTGTAAAAATTCCGTCATAATTAGTAGCAGTAATTTAAATCATAAGACATAGGCTAAAGGCATACAAAAAAGGGGGGCACTCTGATTCTAATCAGATACAATTTTAATCAAATTTAGCAAATATCTATTCACGGTTCGCTACCTGTCCGTTGTGTGTGTGCAATGGGAAAAAAATGGTTCATACAGTTTTGTAAATGTGAAACAAACAAAGTGAATTGGACTGAGCCACACCGATCAGCAGCTGTACTTAATGTCATTTTTCTACATTGAATGAATGAAGTTTCGAATTTTGGACTGAGCACTTTGACATCGCTCGCAGTACTGTATATGTTTATTTTAAATCATTAATTTACCGAAGAATATAGATTTAGAGGGGAAAATATGAACAGACACAACATTGCGGTCACTTTTCATGTCAACACATTTTTTCCTGTATTTGCCTCGGACAGACAATTTTTATGGCCGTTTTAATTTTGTTCTGAAACCTGAACCCGCTCTCTGCTGCCGGACCGGACTTACCAGTCTCTCTGAACGTGGGATTTCCCGATCCCTAAAGCACTCGCTTCAACGGGGAAAATTGCGCTCCATTGCCGTCATTGTTACAAAAATTCCATTCGTGACAGAAAATATTCGGGTAACGCGACATCTGCTAATCGGGCAGAGGCAACAGAAACTCACCCTGTATGTGATCCTTCTTCAGGTCTATCCTCTCCAGGAGAGGGATGAGGTAGGCTCCACTTTTTCCTGTGCCATTCTTGGCCCGAGCCAAAATATCTCTGCCTGACAGAGCGATGGGGATGCTTTCCTCCTTTTGGTAGACACACAAGTCCAATCAGTACAATTGGTTCAGGTTCCTTGGACATGACTTATTTGGAAATAAGGCAAACCATAATGAAGAACACCCTTTGGAATTCACAATAGGGCTACGTCTTCATCCCACAATATAACAGTACATGCTAGAGGGAAGAGTATCCAAGCTACAGAGTGCCAATGATGTTACACATGCCTACATCTGCTTAAGACCAGGCTACAGGAGGCTGTAAGAGGGGCCCAAAATTCTCCTTCATTGGCATGCACGTACAAGAATACAAGTTTAGGGGTTCGCGTGATCAACTGGCAAGAGGAGGAGGATGTCTAATGAAGATACCTGAAGTGAATACCCACATCATTTTGGTGAGTGAAATCTGGAACCATCTCAACTTTGAAACATGGACAGAAGTACTGTTCAGGGTTTTAGTTAGTGCAGTTATAAAGTCGTATAATTCTGATTTACAAGAAATGGCTGTGGGTATATTTTATTAAGGCAGCCTGAAGGTGGTCTAGGAAAAAACTAGAATACATGCACGACATGATGGTTCACACCGTGCACTGAGGCACAGACAGTAACCTGACAATTTGCTACAGCCAAAATGGCCGATCATATTTCAGGGCAGAATCTTTCTTTTTTTTACACTTAGCCATGGGAATGGGACGGGACAGAAGCGAAAATCCACTCCTGTGTCCCCCTCTACTTCATATAAACAAGAGGGCCCTACGTTCTAATCTCTTCACTAACCTGGACAGGGGACGGTTTCTCCCATCCCATTTCAAAGATTCCCATAAGCAGTTCCCGCTTTAGGCAGTAGTCTTCAAATTCATTTCCCTTGGTTGATGTCACATCCTGGGTGAACAGCGCAGAAACATATCAGATTACTGGTCAATAGCATTAAAAGACAACACACTTTCAGCGAGTCTAAAACGTGTAAAATTCAAAAAGTGGAGTTATGAACTGTGAATGTGAATAATAATGTCTGCTAATGTAATGTTAACGTACCGAAGTTCTCATCCTGGTGTCTCTTGGAGGAAGCTCCAGGCACTTCTTCCAGTCATCACCAAACCTAATAACACAAACATGGACAAAGGAGGGCTCTGAAATGTATTGTGGGCCCAAAACTATTTTTCAAGGTATATTACTCAAACACTGGGATGCTGGATGGGAAAAGACTTAATAATTTTCCTTCACAAGTAATAAAAACTTAAAATGTACTGGCCACGTCCAATAACATGCACAATGGCAAAAGAAATCCGTGATTCGTAGAGACTTCTATTTTTATGTTTGTCAAACCTCTTTGTGGTCAGCTTCATTGTACAAGACATACCTATGAGAAGCGTTGTTCTCTGGAAAGAAATTAGATTTACATTTTGCAGATCCTTGTATCAAGCAGTCATGCTACAGAAGTGTTTAACAGAGATAAAACTAACTTTTTTTCAATGCAGGATTGAGAAAATTTAACTGAATCTTACTTGATGCCACCACTGCTCTGAGGAATGCTGGTCCTTTTCTGGAGGGCATTGGGCTGTTGGGCAGTCGGAAGGAGTCCCGTCTGTCCTCTGAGCTGCCCATTTGCTGGTTTGTTCAATCCAAGCATTGGTGCGGGGTTTGCTGTCCTTGCAGTAGCCATGGGTTCAACACATTAACCGACAATTTTCCTCAATGCGTTATGTTTTCCTCGTTTTCACCGATGTTCTTGCTTAATGCACCAGTGTGTAAAAAAAATAAAAACTTTTTCTTTCTCTATTTTTAAAGAATGTATTTTGTACACAATCTGACGTTCAAACCTCTTGAAAAGAAGAGGTCTGCGTATGAATTCTGTCTATTTACAAGACAACTCTCCAAAAAAGGGAGAAATTAACATTCATATGAATAAATAAATCAAATATGTGACCAAAACAGTCTTTTCTTTCAAAAACGGTCTGAAGGAGTACTCTTATCCTTGCTGTAATTGTGATCCAGAATTTTCTTTTTGTGTTCTTTAAGTATTTTGGATTTATAAGTCCAAGTGCTATGTTTACACATTCAAAATGGCCAGTAGTAAAATAACTTCTGCTTGGTCACAACTCAGAATCTTATGATTTGTTCCTTTGACATCCAAAAAAAAAAAAAAAAAAAATCCACAAAAGGTCTTTGCTGTGGCTCAAAAAGAGTCACTCTGGCAATTTTGCTTTTATAGATGGATAGTCCACTTTAAATGTCTGTGGTTATCTTGTTCCGGTTTCCTTCACTTCTGCAGCAAAAATGGAGACGACAGTCTGCAAAGTGCTTTGGGAATTGCCGATCAACAAAAAAATATCCAGGTTACCTACCAGGAAATAAGCAAACAATCGTGGGCGGTTATTTCAAAGCTTTAAAAAAAAAAAAAAAACAACAGGCCACTTAACAATAACGAACCCAGACTAACGCTACTGGATATCAGTTACATACATTTCAGATCTGTGCGCATTAGCAGCGGCTATCTTTGATACGTTAGACTGCAAACTGTTTTTAAAACTAAAATGGTAAAAAAAAAAAAACGGCATAAAAGTACGGTTAGCAAGATTGCAATGCGACACGGTGGAGTCAACAGCATCAGTTTGACATGAAAAACAATTCAAACAACTGAACTGGTGCGGCTTTGTTGTGATACTATGGGTACCAGCTAACCTAATGCTAACTGGAGCTAAAGTAACTATTAGTTAAAAGCTAAGAACTCAAACCCAACTGACGGACCAAGTTGTATTGAAAGTTAGCTCGTTAACGTTAGCCACTGGACTTTTTTGTAACCTCATTGAACAAAACACAAAGTAATGCCAACCACCAATATGTTGCCCCGTGGGCATCTACTTCCATGAACACTTTATTGCCAACGTCGATAACAAAGTTAGTCTAAAGTAAATTAATAACGTCAAGTTACGCCTGTAAATGGCGTTAAAACTTTATGCATAGCAACGTGGCTTTGACCGTCCAGCTAGCATGCTAACACCAACGTAAAGTCTAGCTCCCGTGTGTGAAAATGACCGTAATTCAAACTTTTAATCGAGAAACGATGTGCGTAAAGGAAGCCTGTCAGCATTCATTAAGTTCGCAACCGTTATTTAAACACTTTTATTTAACCTGACCAAACGATTGAGTTAGCATGCTAGTGTTAGCTTAGCCAGGCTGTGTTAACACAGGCTACACGGTAAATCAATAAGCATAATAATTGACTCTTAAGCCACACGGAGACAAATGTTACCTTTACTTTGCAACGTCGACCGTTAGTCTTCCCCGCTGTGCCGTTGCTTAACGTTTCATCGGCAATTTAATTGAGTTTGGTAAACACTCGCTGTTTCGAGAAATCCACCGAGTTTTCACTCTTTTGTCTCTTCTTTCGGAATATTGACAATTCAACATGGCCGCGCGCTCGTTTTTGGGCTGGTTGTTTGCTCCGAAGGACCTCCCACTGACCAATCACAACACTGCTTTCAAATTCGCAAACGTTGCTGCGGGATAAACGGACAAAATCCAGACAAAAGTGAATCTGTTGGACACCCTTTTATGTAAAAAATAATATATCAACAACTTTTGACAGTGATAAAATAACACACACGTGCGCACAGGCACTTATGCACACGAACATCTGAAAGGTACTGTGACGTAGATTATTTTAAAAATGGCATAAAGAAGGAAATGAACTGCAATATTAAGCAGGTCAAGTTACATAGGCCCAGTCTTATTGTAAGCAGACTGGAATTTTAAAAGACTTAAGGTGTCCAAAATTGTATTTGTTGCCCTTCATTTCCTGCCATCTCTCTACAGTCCTCTATACAAAAAGTAAAGGCCAAAATACATTTTTACAAAGGGAGTCAGAGTTCACTGAGCTTAGGCCCATGCCCATCATTTACTGACTTTCCTTTATGTTCAGCCTCGATTGCATGTACAGTAGTGGCACATTTATGTTGCTTCATAGTTGCATATGGAGAAATCCAGCAGTAGCTTGTCAGTTGCTAGTTTGGTCCCAGTCACAACAGCAGCTGGATGAGCAGGGAAGTAGCAGGCAGGCACTCTGTCCAGGCACCTAAACCCATGGAGGGATGCATGTTTTTGCATGGAATCCAGGAAAAGAAGGCCAGCTTATAGGGAATTCAGGTGTAGTCTTTTGCTGGTTTGTCATCCCATTAGCTGTACCTTCTTTTGGATGTCCTTGTGGGCATTGAAGTCTCTCTTTTGGTTCGCTGTGTGGAGGTAGTTGCAAATTGCACTCAACAATAACTGTGAGCTAGTAAAATGGAAATACAAGCGTAGATGGAGTCTTTGGAGAATGGGAGGTGCTATGATGAGGGGTGTGTGGTGTAGTCAAAGGTGAACAACCACGACTGTGGTTGGGAGATGGGGACCCTAAAGTGGAAGCAAAGACTACAACTTAGTACAAATGTATTAATCACAACATGTATCTGATTGTACCAGTCTGAGTGTGAACCTGTGTGCATAGGCTTACCATTATCTGTTAAGCTACTCCCATGTGGTGAGACAGACAGACAGTGTTGATCTTGAGCTCTAACCTGATTGGAGCCTCTCCCTCGTAATACATCTGCTATCTGCAAAACATTTACAGTTGAATGTCACAGTGATCTATAAAAAGGTGACTCTTTAGTCAAACAAGAATGTAATATTGGTGGAGAAACAACTGCACCATTTAGGTCTGTCCTCTAGAGGGAAGGATACACACATTTACTTTCCATTTCCAACCATTTCTTCCTACTATTCCAACCAGAGCTGAGTCAAGTAGATTTTGCAATTGTTTGCATTTGTTTGGTAGGAATTTCCACCGTAAAAGTTACAGTGAGTGATTGGAAATTTGGAAAATCACAAGGAACTTGTTCATTCTCAATTTGGCAACCTTTTGGTGTTCACTGTTTTCTCGACACTATCTGAATTGTCCTGAAGCAGCAACTCACAACCATAGAAAATGGCAAAACAAACAATACTGTAAGAATGGAATTTTTGCATGGTCTGTGTTATTATGGATGTTTTTTTTTCTGTCAGCCTTTCGCTCACTTTCTTGTTCTTGGCCACCATCACAGGGGTGTCATTATGGTAGTTCTTGAGGCTGCTGTCAGCTCCACTCTTCAGCAGCAGCCGCGCCGTGTCCACCTGACCTCGGCCACAGGCGCTGTGCAGGGCTGTGTTCCCACTGTATGACTGGCTGTTGACATCACAGCCTCTCTGCAAGAGAAAAACAAGAAGTTGAGACAGATGTGATTCACAAAGAAAGCCAAAGGAGACGCAGTTAAGCATAGAAAGTGAAATAGAAGATAGATCCATTGAGAGGGTGAGTTAGATCAGGTCGGAGAGAGGAAGAAGAGACAATGCTTTAAAAGGAGAGATTAAGAAAGGAGAAAAGATAATTATGTCCATGTACAACACATCAGCTCTGATTATAGAGCTAAACTATGACTATTTTGCTCCAATTCTTTGAAGGTCTTATCTTTAAGCTAGAAAAGAATGGGAAACTTAGTATGCAGCTTATGAGCTAGAAAGAGATAACCAGAGTTATCAAATAGAGCCGAGTCACAACCCTTCTCTCCCCTCCTTCCTCCCTGCCCACACACCCTCATTACCTCAATGAGGAAGTGGACCATGTCTGCGTTATTGCTCTCCACTGCGTGCATGAGAGGACTCTGGCCACTCTTGATGTCCTGATTAGAGAGAAAGAAAAGCACCATGGGAAAAGTCAGAGGATGCACTGACGGTAAATGTCAAATTTGTGATGTTGTGAAACTTAGTCAGCGCTGAGTCAGTGCAGCACATGGGACTGACCATAGCATTGATGTCAGCGCCTGCATCCAGCAGCATTTTGGACAAATCTTTCTGGCCACGCAGCACCGCCAGATGGAGAGGGCTCAAACCTGAGAACAGTGACAAAGCAGAACCTGAGTTTCACAGTGAGCATATGCAAATACACATAGACACATACAGTGTGCGCAAATTGTGAATGCATATACACACTCCTGCCTGAAACTTGTACATACACAGTATAAACTCTCAGAGACATAGGCAGTATATGGCACATTTTCCACACAAATGCAAAGTAGCAGTTTATTAACGGATGTCACATGAGAAGTACAGAATAGGAAATTTAAAACAAACATCAAAAGGGTTATACAACTTTAAGGTGATTCAAAAGATGAAATAACTGACAGCGCAGGATGCTAGGGCAAGTAATCTTCTGTACCCAGAAACCCAATAAAAATGTCTCCTGTGCTGTGACATCACAGGCATACGATGGAGATGTGGCAATGTGACTAAACTACACCACAGAGGAAGGACATGTCCTCTGCTCTTCCTGCCCACACACCCAAAAACAACCAACCCCATCTCTACCTGAACAAGAGTTCACATCCCCCAACAAACTAGTAAAGTAGTGGTTGTTCACCTATTTGACCATTTTACTACTTGCAAGTGTATTTTAATAAATTGTTCTACGTCTGCAATATCTAGATGGAAATCAAAACTGGGTCACAAACACAAGGAGTAAATGAGAAAAAGGCAGCTGACATTTTTTTTATTTCATAAAAGTCAGCAATGCTGAGACAAAGTCTATTTATGATATTCAGATCAAGCACTCTTAATTTGATAATGGCTTTGCTTGTGTTCACATCCTAAATCTTACTTTGTCAAGAACAACTTCAATACAATACAGACGAAGGTGCTTCTTCTGTAGACTACAACTTACCCTCATAGTTTCTGATCTCCAAGCATGTGGAGGATTGGGAGAGAGAAAGCACAACGGACAGACAGTCACGCTGGTCATATTCGCAGCAGAGGTGGAGCGCTGTTTGTCCGTTACGGTCCAAGGCAGCAGGGTCGGCCCCATCTCTCAACAAAGCCTCCACCATGTTTGCCTGCTGGGTGATCACTGCCAGATGAAGGGGAGTCTGAGGGGGAGGATGAGAGCAAAAGTGACAGTTTAGACAAGCCAGTGTATTCAGGTTCATAACCACAAAAGTCAATATATTGTCTCACTACAGCATGCAGTGTGAAACTATACTCAAAGACATCATCCCTCTGTCTTACAATTTGAGATAAATAGATTTCTTACTCTTTATAGATGCCATTATTTCAAAACAAGTAGCTATTATAGTGTCAATGTTCTGAATGAAAATGCTCATCTAACAGTGAAATCCCAGATCCTGATTTCCACAAAATGTAATGAGGTGGTTGCTATCCCAAGAATCTTTTGTTGATAATCTCCACATTGCAAATACAATAAAGGAACTGAGTTAAATAAGAAGATACCGCTGATATCTGCATGGTGAACATAAAGCAATGAGCCAGGAGGCAGTTAGCTTAGCTGAAAAAACGGCGAGCCTGGCTCTATCTGAGGATAACCAAATCTGCCTACCAGCCCCTCTAATTAACACGGTATATCTTGTTATACAGTATGCCGGATTATTCCTGAGCTCTGTGCCGATAGGTATGATTTTGTTACCTCTGGACAGAGTCATCACTGTTTCCAATCGTTATGCTAAACTAAACCAGCAGCTGGCTGTAGCTGCATATTTACTATTCAGACATGAGAGTGGTATGATCTCCTCTATCTCTCAGCAAGAAAGCCAAGTTGTTGAGATATTCTGCTGCCAGACAGAGAGACGAAGTAAGAGTTTTAAAATCATAATATCCATGGTGAAAATAATGAATAACAGACAGGAAAAAATGTCAAGCTATGCATTTACAAAATCTTCTCAATCATCACCACATTCTTGCAAGTGAGGTTGGAGGAAGAGCGTTATCATTTCTAGTAAAGGCCTTCTGACATCACTAACCTGTTCTACGGGTTAAAGGTCAGAGACACAATAGGAACTAAGCCCGTAAGAATAGGCCAACGCCTTCTACAAGTAAACAAGGAACTATGTCTGGTTCGATTATCGCGACTACACGACATCAGGCGATCATGAGGTGCAGGCACATGTGCTCCATGCCTATCCCCACATATACACAAACACACCTAACATGTACGTGCACGTACGCAATGCCAATATTCATAGTTGTCAGCAATCAAATCAAAGTCCAAAAAGTAGCTGACTGGAAAAGACAAACAACAACAACAACAACAACCAAAGCAGGAGACTGTATGATTCATTATAAATTAGGGAGAACCTGTTCTGAGAGACAAACAGCCTGCAAGTACAGGAAAAACAAAAATTACACAGTTCACCAGGAGTTTGCCTGGATGAACCTACTAAGTACTGAATGAGTTCACTTGAGCAATCTAGGATGTTCCTTTGTGTGAGATCAGCATGTATCATCCTGTTGGTAATTATATCAACTCTGGCCAGGGAGGGCACTGACAACCTTCTATTCAAATCAAGCAATGCAATATTTCAGTCATAAAAGGAAGTTTTTTTAAACTGGACTTTTTAGCTGCTTTTGAGGTTACACAATAAACACAACAATCAGGAACAAGTTGTGGCTCCAAGTTTCTCTTTTGCTATACTGTTACTGTACGTGTGTGTGTGTGCTGTATGTGTGTGTGCTGTAGGTGTGTGTGTGTGTGTGTGTGTGTGTGTGTGTGTGTGCTGTGGGTTTGTTCCAGTAAAGACTATTAAAAAAAAGTAGTCTTGCAGTGTCTTCGTGGAATTCCTAGTGTTTCAATGCCATGTGTTCCTCCCCTCAGCTCCTGTTTCCCTGAATCCTGTGACTCACACACACACATACGGATTGAAAAAAACACACACTAAAGTGAACAAACAAACACACACACACACACATTCCCATGGAAATGTACGTTTTTTTAACTTCCCATAATCAGTCATTGTGAAAAGCTACACTACAATTTTGACCCCACACAGCACTGAAGAAATGTGTGTGGTAGAATCTTCTTCAATGATTTCCAGAACTAAACAAATTACCTTCCACAGTGAGGCCTTTTAAGGCCTTCAAAATAAACCTCTTAGAGTTGGCAGAGTCTAGCTGTGGCTTCCTGTAAAGGATTTTAGAGTGACTAAAACAAAAATCCAGCAAGATAAGAGGAAGGGAGTGAGGGGGGTGCAGGGCGGAGAGATGGAGGAATGAGGAAGAAACGGAAGCAGCAGAGGGGAGTCCAGGGGAAAGACGGGATAACAGGGGAAAATCCCTTCTCTTTCCCCTGGGTCTGTCCCTGCACACTTGCATTCCTGCAAAATAAGCGGATCAACATGAAGGAGGTAAAAAGATGAGAGGAGAATTCTGGGCACGAAGACCAGCCCCGGGCTGTAGGCTGTGCCAAACACAAAGAAGGGTGCAAGGCAACACTAAGAGACAGAGACTATTCTTCTGTAGTGAACACTAGCAAGCCTTTTGCACAAATAAACATCACACGCTTTTACGTCAGTGTTGTTGACAGTTATACTGATAGCATCAGCCAGTTCGTTAGTTATGGTTACAAACCCTAAATTCTCATAAGGTATGTGCAGCGAGAGATATGAAAAAAGATTGTACAACGAGACAGAGCGAGACAGCACGAGACAGAGAGAGAGAGAGAGAGAGAGAGAGAGAGACGCACAGTAAGGGAAAGTCCCTGTAAACTACCCTCTGAACCAAGGTATGTTGAGAAACAGCCCAAAGTGGGGGGGGGGGGGGGGGGGGGG